AAAGAGGGGGAGTAAGAAGAAGAGAGGGGAGTAAGAAGAACACAGGGAGGGGGTGAGGAGAAGGGTAGGTGAGGAGAACAAGGGGAGGGGGGAGGTGAGGAGAACACGGGGGAGGAGGTGAGGAGAACATGGGGAGGTGAGGAGAACAGGGGGGTGTGAGAATAACACGGAGAGGGGGTGAGGAGAAGGGGAGGTGAGGAAAACACAGGGAGGGTGGGTGTGAGAAGAGACTTCTAAGGGGCAGGGGAGAGCTCTATAGGACAGGGGGCAGGACAGGGAGCTCTTTCACACTACGCGCACACACACACAATGCATCCCTATACATACACAGAAACACACAATGCATCCCTTACACACACATGCAAACACACACGCTGCTTCTCTTACATACACACAGAAACACAATGCATTTCTTACACACACTCAATGCACACACTTACAGACACACACCTTGCATCCCTTATGCATACAAACACAGATTCACACAATGCATACCTTACACATAACCAGAAACACACAATACATCCCTTTTACACAAACACACACTGCTTCCACTACACACAAACACACTGCATCTCCTACACAACTGGTATCCCTATACATTACATTCCATAAGCACACACATTAGATCCTCTACAATAACACACAACACATCCCCTACACAATCTTTAATTAACCTCACATTAAAGGGACACAATAGTCCCCAGAACCACTGCAGCTTAATGAAGTAGTTCCGGTGTCTATAGCCTGTCCCTGTAGGCTTTTTAATGTAAACACAGTGTGCAGCACTGGCGTTAGTTCATATGGCAGATCATATGGGTGGGCGGCAAAAATCCTTGCACCAGCCCTGGCTGTGCATACACCTTGGATGGTTCTTTGGTAAAGAGTACATTGATTATCTTAGCCTCTGCTTCTCTAGTGTATCTGCTCAGTCTGTTTGCCAGTGCTGTCAGTCTTTGCTTAACTGTTTCCAGCGCCTCTGGTATAGGCATTTCTTTTAGTATGGATTCTGGTTGACAATTCTCTGCAGGTAAGAATGTGGGTATGGGAATTTCTTCCTCCTCACAGTGTATGGTTGATTTCTTCTGTAGTCCATTTATTTCCAGTTGTGACACTATATTTCTCTTGAAGATGTTCAAATGTTGTGTGTGTGTGTGTGTGTGTGTGTGTGTGTGTGTGTGTGTGTGTGTGTGTGTGTGTGTAAAGTGCCCTCTACTAATATTGGTACCATGAGTAAATATGAGCAAATGAAGTCTGTGAAAAAGGGTTATTTTTTAACCTTTTCATCTTTTGTTCAAAAATACATAAAAATACTCTGCGTTCATGGATATGAGACAATTGCAAAGACAACACAGGTTTATAAAAAATAAAAAAAAATCTTTGTTAGATATATGTGTGGCACAATTATTGGCACCTCTATGAATTCATATGAGAAAGTGTATTCCCATTGTTATTTTACATTTTTTACTACACCTGGGTGACTAGTAACAGGGAACTGCTCAACTATGACTTCCTGTTTCAGAGGGGTATAAATATATCATGATGGGTAAGATCAAGGAAAATTGCTGTGATATGTGGCAAACGGTTGTTGAGCTGCACAAAAAGGGAAGTAGCTACAAGAAAATTGACAATGCCCATTTCCACCATCAGGGCGATAATTAAGAAGCTCCATGTTATGAATCAGCCTGGAAGAGCTGACTGCATTATCTCTGTATTGTTTTCTGCCAAAGGACCTGGACATTTTGTGAGATTACATGACATAATGGAATCTATCATAGAGGTATTAAATGAATACCTGACTGCCTCTCTCAGAAAGCTTAAAATGGGCCACGGTTGGATCTTCCAACAGGATCCAAACATACATCAAAATCAACATAAAAATGGATAATCCTAACCACAAAATCAAGCTCTGGCCATGGCCATCCCAGTCCCCTGACCTGAACCCTATAGAAAACCTGTTGGGTGAACTGGAAAGGAGAGTCCACCAGTGGGTCTAGAAATTTGAAGGATCTGGAGTGATTCTGTATGGTGCCCTGTACTCTTCAACCTCATCTGGCTTTATAGGAGAAGACTCAGAGCTGTTATATTGGAAATAGAGAGGTAACAGGTATTTGTAATTGTAATTTATTTATTTTTTTCAGAATTTCCTTGGATTTTTTTTTCAGACGCTAGTTTGGAAATTAAGAGTGAAATAATTCTTGAGTAAGTTTAAAACTATTCAGGGACTTTCGGATTTTATATATTTAGTGAAGTTTATTTTCCTATTGATCAATTAGGCTTTTTCGTACATTTAGACATTTTCAGATAAATGTATTATACTGAGTGACTAAAATTTTGATGTCAATCAAATCAAATTTCCATTTGCAAATTAAATGTCTATCTAATAAATACCAGAATTTATTGATAAGATATGACAAGAATTATTAGCAGACAATATTATATATTAGCAAATCTGTACAATTATTTATTTTTAATGAATCACAAATGTGAACCACCTGCAATGAACCCTTAAATTGTTATTCCAAGCATCATAACCACTAGAGTGCATTGTAGTGGTTATGATGCCAGGAGTTAGTATCTTCTAACATGGTTTGGTGCCAGAGCTGTAGAAGCCAGATGTCGATCCCCTCGGCCATTCATTGAGCGTTCTCAGCCGATGGATGAAAATTGGTACATAGAAATATGCACAGAATTGACATTAGTCAGGTCTTGTTCTGGGTTGACTACTGACTCAACCATGTGGCTGTTGGGGGTTATGTTAAACTCTGTATGTGTAGCATTTCATAGCAAAACGCTGCACACAGAGACTACAAGCACCAGAGACTATATCACACTAGCCAATTGATCTGACAAGAGAGCTGGGTGCTTCAACAGTTGATGTAATAACTAACTGAGTCATCCACTAAATCATTGTGTTTATTGTTCACCAATGCCTACTGTCCTTGTTCTGGAGTAATCATGAAAATGTACGATGTGCTTATAATTGAAAAATCTTAATAATGTGTTATACAAGCCTGTTAGTAATGCAATGCGTCTAAACTAAACCAGCAAATTGATTCTTTCAAGCATATTACTGTTTTCAAACAAAACAAAGGCTTCATTTATAATCAAAGCAATTAGGTAAAACAAAACTGATCGCGAGATGAAAAGAATAGGATCATCAAATAATGTTTAATTTGAAAAGAAAATATGAGCAATCCCCAGGAGTGTACACTATTTGTTTAATCTACATCTTACAGCAGATGGAGTTTCCTATCAGACAGTGTTTTAGTAGTACTGTGACCTCATATCTGTAAATGTAGGACCTAGGACCTGTATATATAGACTGTGATCTAGAACCTATATTTATAGGCTCAACCTAGAACCTGTATATATAGACTGTGATGTAAAACCTACATTTATAGTCTGAACCTAGAAGCTGTATATATATATATATATATATATATATATATATATATATATATACAGTGGCGTCGCTAGGGGGGGGCCAGAGGGGGCCATGGCCCCCCCTACATCATGCTGTGCCCCCTTGGGCCCCCCCAAATGCCGGCAACTTGCTGGCCATGGGCTTCCCTCGGACTGTAACAGCCTGTGACAGCCCGGGGGAGGGAATGCAGTGCTGAGGTGCTGGGGGCTGTCTGTGGCCGGAGGGAGCCCTGATTGGCTCCCCGGCACAGGCCCCGCCCCCAAACAAAGCCCCGCCTCCCGCCGATAAGCTCTGCCCCCGCCGTAATGCAGCAGCCCATGCTGCTTCAGAAGATGGCTGCCTGACCCCCAGTGACAGGTAGGCTGGG